TGCTGATGGGTGTGTGTGTTGGCAGTGTGTGAGCCCTTCAGGTGTCCACAGCTCAGCTGTCCTTTTGGGATGGCGGTGGTGTCCGTTTCCAGCCCTGACCGGTGCTGTCCCAACCAGACATGCGGTAAGACCGGACCCTTTCAGGTCTGAAAGCAGCCCCAGTCTGACCACAGAGACCAGCAGCATGTGTGTTTTCTCTTCCCAGAGTGCTCTTGTGAAAAGATTGCCTCCCCGAAATGTGGCCTGGTACGTCCCGGCCTGCTAGATATTTATACTTGGCTTTATAGACTATGTTTTCTGTGTTTTCTGTGTGTTTTCTGTGCTCATGTGTGTGTGTGTGATCTGCAGGGGGAAGCTGCTCAACTGGACCGGGCCTCCCCGGCCGACCCACAGAACCAGTGCTCCTGTAAAAGATACAAGTGTGGTGAGTCCAGCTGCTGGTTCAGAGGCCGTTAGCTCGCGCTTTGTCTCAGGGGGAGCAGTCCAAAGTCTCAGGAACTAAAAGGGACATATCTGGATTTGGTATGTCCCGATCCAGCTTTTTGATCCTGATCCCGGCACGTGTTATAGTCTAAATTTATTTATCTACTTACTTAGTTGTTAGACTCATGTTGAACAGGGATTTACAACTTAATGGTTAGGACACAGACCTGTGGGTTAGGAGATGCTAATGCTAATGCTAATGCTCATGTGGGGTCGGACTTTAAAAAAAAACCTGATCTGGAGTCTGGATCTGCATTTTGTCCTGCCGGGCCGATCCGATCCAGATATGGGATCGGGACCAGCCTAGTCTGAATCCCCCGGTAAGATGTTGGTGAGGAGGCCCAGTTTTTAGGCCACAGGAACACGGCCGCCATCTTGAAAGCCGCCACTTTGGATCAAAAGAAAGTTTATCCAATGGGGAGATGGTCATGTAGGAAATCAAAGATAATCAGAAATGTCTCAGGAATCAATTGATGCAGTCATATTAGCAAAAAGTCATTTTGTTAAAAAGTTCTGAACACATAAAGTTGCAGCAGCGAGTGGGAACGCTGGGCGTTTGACGTGCGCTGTCCTTGGTGCTGAACACCTCACACACATAAAAAGCTGTGCTGTTTTTATAAAGCTTATGTTTCCAGCATCCAAAGAGGTAAAACCTACTTTTTTAGTCAGTTATTTTATATGCACATATGTGCATCATTAGATTTAATTATCGTCTGTGTTGTATCTGCTCTGGGTTAACAAACACATAGTTTCTCATTTTGTCCAGGACAGACATATTTAAAATGTTTTACTTCATTAGCTTGAGACAAAATGGGATGTCATTTTTACATTTATTTTGATTTTAGAGGCCTGTATCAGTCTTTGTCTAGAAAACTAAATGTAATGGTTCACTTAGAGGGTGCCTGGATACAAAATACAGCTCTCTGTAAGATGGATATGTTTCAGTGTGGCAAAATGCCAACTTTATTCTAGATTATCGGAGAAAAATATTCCCTTAACTCATTCGCTGCCAAAGACGTCTATAGACGTCTTTTCAAATCCAACCGTTGACTGCCAAAGACGTCTATGGACGTCTTTTATGTTTTTCAATGCGAGTGGCTTGGGGGACGATCGGCGAATGTTTTCCCGAAAATATCGGCTTCTAGACAGAGTATGGACTAACAAATTTACCCTCTAGGTAGCTGTGCCACTTTTGATGGGAGATGAGCATAGATTGTAGGTAAATAAAAACAAACGCAATGGTTCGCTATGAGAGAACATGTCGCCGGTGAGACGCACGTCGAGGAAGAACGGAATGAGGTAGAAACAAAATCTTTCTTCCTGATGAAAGAAGAGAGTCTACTCTTTCTTTTGGTGTGTTCGGTGTTTACATAGTCATAGCACAAACTATTCTGTGGCTCTTGAAAAATCAGTCAAAATTCTCAAAAAACTCTGGCAGTGAGCGACTCTCTGTTCTGAAAATGGCTGGCAGTCAATGAGTTAATTAAATGACAACTGGACTTGATGATAAAAGTATCATAAATAAACATTCAAGTTTAATTAATTACATTGTATTTCACACTGAGATTGATTTAGAATGTATTAATATAGTTTGAATACTCCATTAGGGAATAAGCGGTAACGATAATGGATGGATGGATGGAATATAGCTTGAATGTAGTTTATTATTTGTTAAAACGCATATAAATATAATTTAGTTAAAATTAAGTTAATTTAAAAAAACACATTTTGGTTGGTTTTGTAGTCTTTATGGGAAGAAGTTTGGAAAGTAAAAATGAAAAAGATCAGCTGCTGTTTCCATGACAGAATGCAGCCCGTGACCTCTGACCTCTGCCCTCTGCTGTGTGTGGTGTGTGGTGTGTGCAGTGCGTGAGGCGGTGTGTGTGTTTGGGGAGCGGGGCGTGCTGCGGCCCGGTCAGGCTCTGGTGGAGCGGGGGGAGGACGGCCTGTGCATCAGCCGGCTGTGCAGCCGCGTGCTGGACCCGGCCAGTGGATTCCACCTGCTGCGCACCGCCACCCTCAACTGCTCTGCCCGGTG